CGAGCAAAGTTGGCCCAGTACTTCATCACCCTCCTGCTCAGCAGCGCCTCCTCCTCAGTGACTGCAGAGAGGAGGAGGACAAGTGTCCAGTCGGGGCCACCCCAGGCCAGCTGCCCATTCATGCACCACACTCACCATCCCAGGTGTCACTTCTCCCTGGACCCCGCAGGTCTGGACCTCCGCCCCTCCCCCTCCGCCCTCGGGAGCCAGGCCCTCTCCTTGACCCAGCTCCTCACTCTCCCAGACTCTACCTGGCTCATCGCAGGGCCCATTGCTCCTTTTGACTCAGGGAAGCCCTTTGAGGAACAAATACGCCTTTGAAACACACCCCTCTGCACCCAGGCCAGACACCATACTCAGGGTGGGAGAGGTGGAGGCAGCACGTGCCACAGCCTGACGAGCCTTGCATTCTAATCCCAGCTCAGCCTTTTGAGCTCTGAGATCTTGGACACCTGATCCCCATCTCTCTCTGAGTCTCAGTTTCCTCATCTGTGCTGTGAGGGCATCACCCCTCAAGGACCCAGCCAGGGTCTGTCCCACCTCCTGGGGAAGGAGGAAGACTCACTATGGCTGCCCCAGAAGGAGCTTCCGAAGACAAAGAGAACCTCATCGCCATGGTCGGCCTTCACGTGGGGTGGCTTGATGTCCTTGAAGAAGGAGGGACGATGCTGGAACTCATAGAAGTAGACGGGGGCATGGGAACCTAGGGGAGTGACAGGTCATGACAGGGGGCCCCCTCACTTGGAGCTGTCCTGCATCACCCGTGGTGACACAATACCTAGGTCTAAAGCTCACTGGAATCTGGACAATGGGGTGGGGGTGTCCTAGGCTGCAGCAGGGGCAGTGTGGAAACCTGGGATAAATCATGGCCATGGACTTCTGAGCTGGGTGTTCTTGGGCAAGTCACTGAAGACCACAAACCACAGTTTCCTCATCTGTAAAATGAGGGAAATGTCTGTCTCTAGATTAGCCACAAGGATTTACTGAGGTGAGGGACATCAAGTGCCTGGCAACCAGGGGCTCATTAAAGATATAGGTAGGGATCTGGACACCAGAGACTTCTCCTTGGACCCAGGGCTCTGAGCTGCCCCCTTGCCAGTCAGGCCTTAGGTAAGATGTACTCACGCTGAAAATGTGCTACTTGGAGAGCAGGCATCACGAAGATGGCATCCCCCATCATCTCCTGGAACTGGGCTTGGAGGGTCTGAGAGTTCTCGTTGTCCCCGAGGTACTCCTTCATACACAGGTCACCCATTTCAGGAGGCAACATCTACCCCAGGTGGATCAGGAAGAGTGAGGTCAGGCAGGCTGCCAGGGGCAGGGAGGTAGCAGCCTCAGGGATGGGGAGATAGATGGTGGGATGGGGCAGGGAATGGGGGTAAAGGGCCAAGGTCAGGGGTGACCCTACCCACAATCACACACATACTCCAGACTATGCTCATGGGGGTCGCTGCATGGGCAGGCTATCAGGGGGATGGGTTCCCTCTACCTCAGGAGAGGAGGAGCCCCTATCCACTGACACAGGACCCCAGGAGCCTCACCATGTGTGCTAATGTTTTATGCACAACAGCCAGCATGGCTTCTCTGTCCACTTCCTTCTGGGTGAAAATCACGTCCAAGCTCTGAGTGGTGGGGGAGAACCTTTAGTTGGGGGTGCGATGGGCCTGGAGCTATAAAGTCCTGAGGCCCCCTCATTGAATGGGCTCACCAAGCACAAGACACTGGGATCATGGCTGGCCTCACCTCGGGCATCACCCAGCCAAACTCATCGCTGTTGACACCAATGATGCTGGGGATGGGTTGAAAATCACCAGAGGCCAGCAGCTCCTGTGGGTGCCTGGGCAAGAAGGCCCCATCCACCACACCATGGATTAGCTTGAAGGGCTGAGGGGGCATGCAAGGTCAGGAAGCAAAGTCAGTTCCCTGACATTTTCTGACACACTGAGTGCCTTCCACGACTTCCTAGCATATCCCAGTCTGTTCCCACCCTCTGAAGGAGGTCTTATTTGCGGCTTGGCATGCCCTGGTCTCCATTTCCCATCCAGGTGTATGAGAACACCAGGGTGTGGGGATGAGGTAATGTGCCCAGAGACCACAAAGAGCAACCAGGCCTGCCTGCCCCCTGCCTATAACACTCCCCCCCCGCTTCCTCCAAATCAATGTCCATTGAGCCTGACGTTGTTAATAGCCAGAATCTCCTCTTCACTCTTGGCCCGCAGGCAGCCCACCAGGGCCTCGGAGTCCACTAGGTCACAGGCAGACAGGTTGGCCACCATCTGTAAATAGATCAGGTAGGGACTGGCTCATCCTTCCAGGTAGGAGAAAGTGGATTGCCCAGGGTACCGGCAGGGAGCAGGTACACCCCAAATCTCACTGTGTATTGTGTGTGGATAGCTGAAAGTTTCAAACTGTTCCAATGATGGAGTTTTGATGTGTTGTCCCCTCCAAAACTCATGTGGAAATTTGCTCTTCAATGTGGCAGTGTTGGAAACTGATTGAGTCATGGGGCGGATCCCTCATGAGTGGATTAATGCTCTCCCTGGGGGCGGGGGCATTAATGAGTGAGTTCTCGCTCTATTAGTTCCTGAAAGAGCTCATTGCTTAAAAAGACCCTGGCACCTTCTCTCTCTCTCTTGCTTCCTCTCGCCATGTGATCTGCTTGTACCTATCGGCTGCCTGCCACTTTCTGCCATGAGCAGAAGCAGTCTGAGGTCCATGCCAGATGCAGCGGTCTCAGAATCATAAGACAAATAAACCTCTTTTCCTTATAAATTACCCAGTCTCAGGTATTTCTGTTATAGCAACACGAAACGGACTAAAACATCCAACTTTCCCAGTGCTCAGACATCTCAGCCAGAGGGGCCATGCCACCTGATTAGATGGTTCTGACCATGATGGGGGTCCCCAGGGCGGCAGCTTTGCAGGCCACAGAACACACTCAGCCCCTGCAATGGCAGCAGTGTGGGGATTCTGACTCTTGAGCCCCTCAGCAATGCCAGAGCAGGGGGCAGTTTCTGAGGCACCCTGATGGTCCTTGTTATCCTCATTTAACGGTCAGAGCAACGAGGCTCCAAGAGGTGGGAGATGAGGCAGCAGGTCTGGGCCACCGTGGTTAAGGGCACTCACCGTGGAAACTGCATGAGATGAACTGTTGACGAGGCCAGGCACCAGGGCCACACCACTCTGCATGATGGCAGCATGGAAGAGCCCTCGTGACATGGGGGATATGACATGTGAGGACACACTTGTGCCACCTGCAGACCCACCAAAAATGGTGACACGGTCAGGGTTGCCTCCAAAATGGGCGATATTCTGCTGGACCCAGCGTAGTGCAGCCACTTGGTCCAGGTAGCCCCAGTTCCCGGTTGCGTGCTTGTCTCCAGTGCTGAGAAATGTCAGGGACAGGGATCACAGGGCTGTCCTGGCTCTGTGCAACCCCCTAGCACAGCCCTGGCCTGGTCTCACCTGAAGAAGCCCAGGACACCCAGGCGGTACTGGATAGTGACCACTACCACGTCCTCAAAGGCTGCCAGCGCAGAACCATCATACATGGAAGCCATGCCCACAATAAGCCCCCCACCGTGGATCCACACCATCACCTGGGGAAATCAAGGCAGAGGCCAAGTGGCTCCCTCCCAGCCCAATCCCCACCAGGACTGCTACCTAGAGAGGTACTACCCACGTCTTTGGCTCTGTCCACCTGCCCACATAGACAGAACTCCAGCAAGACTTCAAGACCTGGGCCATGGAGCAGGGACCCCAGTTCTACCAGGAAGCCCAGGCCTCCCATAGTTTAGGGTCTACCATATATCCAAGCCTGGCTCCATTACTCCCAGAACCATCGCTGAGGTGGAGAGAAAACGGTATCTCTCTGATTGCCCCACATGAACATTAATCAAAAGTGTCCTCCATTCTCTCTCTCATTTTTTTTTTTTGTTTTTGTTTTTTTTTTTGGGGGGGGGGGGCTGGCCAGTACAGGGATCTGAACCTGTGACCTTGGTGTTATAAGGCTGCACTTTAACCAACTGAGTTAAATGGCCAGCCTAATAAAGTGTCTTCCACTCTCATTGGCACAACAGATAATCCATGGTTGGGATCTCTGATGACCTCAAAGTGCAGCCCACAGGCAACTGAGTGGGACTCCTGGGCACTAGATGGGTGGGTGAGTCCTGGGTCCACCCCAGGGTTACAGCCTCTGACCTCTGGAGCAGCCAAGATCCTGTGACCCTATGCCCAGGGTCAGCTGCCCACCCGGGGTAAGAAGTATTTCTTAGACTGATAGTGACAGGCCTTGCGACACAGTCCACACTGCAATGG